ATCGCAATCCAAAACAAATAAACTGTTTTTACCCAAGGTTAAGTGTCAAATTTGAGAGATTAATGCAATTTGCTAAAGCAGAACCTAAGCCTGATGCACCTTCATCACCAATTTTATTCCAACTTTTTAAATATTGAAGAAAAAATATATCATGAAATGGTTAATTAGAAGGAAAAAATGAAGAAAAAATATGAAATAATAAGATTAATTAATTAATAATAAAAGCAAAACTTGAAAATAAAATGATGAGCTAAATTAACAAACAAATTACAAAAAAAAAGCAAGCACAATAAAAAGAAAAAGAAAAAATAGCTTTATTGTTTTAAATTAGTTTTTATATTTAAAAATATAGCAATCCAAAACAAATAAACTGTTTTTACTAAAGGTTAAGTGTCAAATTTGAGAGATTAATGCAATTTGCTAAAGCAGAACCTAAGCCTGATGCACCCATCGCACCAATTTAATTTTCACTTTTTAAATATTGAAGAAAAAATATACCATTAAATAGTTAATTAGAAGAAAAAAATGAAGAAAAAGTATGAAATAATAAGATTAATTAATTAATAATAAAGTCAAAAGTTGAAAATAAAATGATGAGTTAAATTAACTAAGAAAGAAAGAACTAAAAAGCAAGCACAATAAAAAGAAAAACAAAAAAAAAGCTTTATTGTTTTAAATTAGTTTTTATAATTAAAAATATAGCAATCCAAAACAAATAAACTATTTTTACTCAAGTTCAAGTGTCAAATTTGAGAGATTAATACAATTTGCTAAAGCAGAACCTAAGCCTGATGCACCTTCATCACCAATTATATTGTCACTTTTTAAATATTGAAGAAAAAATATATCATTAAATATTTAATTAGAAGGAAAAAATGAAGAAAAAGTATGAAATAATAAGATTAATTAATTAGTAATAAAGTCAAAAGTTGAAAATAAAATGATGAGTTAAATTAATAAAGAAAGTACAAAAAAAAAGCAAGCACAATAAAAAGAAAAAGAAAAAATAGCTTAATTGTTTTAAATTAGTTTTTATATTTAAAAATATAGCAATCCAAAACAAATAAACTGTTTTTACCCAAGTTTAAGTGTCAAATTTGAGAGATTAATGCAATTTGCTAAAGCTGAATTTATGCCTGATGCACCCTTTGC